CCTATCTCTGATAATGAGCAAAGTACATCATATCTGAGGATATAAATAAGTATTTGTTGCATCCTTAGAGATAAGACCCCCCCCCCATTCTGCAAAGTGAGCGGCAGGACATTGCAGAAGTTCCCTAACTCAAATATCTGTTCCTCCTCCAGAAGAAACTTCACAGCCCTGCCCGAATGAGAAGTGTTCGCTCATCCTGGATTGCAGTGGGTTGACCTTTTTTGACTATTCCGGGGTCTCCATGCTTATTGAGGTATTTACACAGTCTGTATTTGGATAGATTCTTTCCCTTCCCGTCAGTAATTGGTTTTCACCAGTCCCCAACTCCAGAGCTCAATGCTGCTCATTTCAAAAGAACATAGAATTCCATCCCTCCTGCTCCTGTTAATTTGTTTTCAAGAGACCCTATTGAGCTTCCTGGTGTGTGTATGTGTGGAGACCGAAGGTGAGGCTCTTCATGTGGAATGCTCAGAGAGAGAACATAGATTTGAGATGTTGTGGCCATGGTACATGGGAGCAGTCATTGTATAGTTTTCAGAAAGAAGGGTAAAATTCCCCCTGTGTTACAAATGGCTTTGGTGATGGCTGGATATTTTCTCTCACGTTGTGGCTGAGCTCAGTTTAACCCACACCATTCCTGGTTGCATTGCAGGCACTTTTCTCCATTCTCATGGACAGTGGTGATTAATTTCTACCCCATGATTTCTGTGGGGTCTCCATCACCTTGGTGTGCAGAAAATAAAAATCTTTATTTTTTAAAAAACTTGTATATGTCACAAGCTCCTATTACCACACCTGTAGGAGCACTTCATTTGCTGATTCACTGAAAACTCAGAAACTTCCGAAGTGTTTCCTCCTTGTTTTTTTTTGTTTTTTTTTGAGTAAGTACTAAGCCAACAGGAATTTATTAATTTATTTGCTTTATTATTTCTCTTTGTTGTCTTCCTCAATTCCCCAAATTTGTTGGGGGGTTCTTGAGGATAGAGCAACATCTATCCTCAGTTCTCTATCAGCTTCTGCTGCCTGAAGCTCATCAGTACATCTTGGCTCTGAGTGTTTGCCCCACAAAAGATCTCCTGTCCTGGCCTCAGCGTGTCCACCTTCTTCAGGTGTGAGTGATATCCATCAAGACTAATCAAAGCCCTCTGGACATTGCTGGAACTCTTTCTCTCCATATTCAATGCTCACTCCTTCAGTTTTCCTCCACCCTGGTCTGCTTAGCTCAGTGACGCTGCTGCATTTCTCCTGGGTTCCTCTTCAGAGAGTCTTGGCTAAGAATTTGCCAGGGGACAGAAAGCTAACATGCTGGAAAGCTCACCTCATTTGTTTTCTTTCTTTCAGAGAACTGAGTTCTGTGCACCCAGTCCCCATAGTCTGGAAATAGTTGGTTGTATATTTCTAGCTGGTGTCTACTGATTTACAGAGAGTAGATGGTTTTGTTAGTTACTTTCCATGGTCAGGGGTTGAAATCTCACATGGACTTTTAAGGGGTTAAGGTCAGGCACTTTCATGTGACCTCTTGCTACAGAGTGATTGTTTTCTGTCACATTGCATACATAGCTGGCTCTACTCATTTGTATTTTATATTTTAAGTGTTTGACCTTTCAAAATCCAGATAGTGCAAATTTTAGTATTGCTCTGATCTAGAGGTGGGATGGGACTATATAAAGTGGAAACTGCTGATTGGTGAAAGTCTGAGAGAACAACTCAGTCTTGTGTCACTAGCCATGAGGTGTGGGGGAAATGTTCTAACCAGCCTGGAACTCAGCTTATTCATTTTCTGAAAATGAGAGGGTGATTTTTGTTTCAGGATTAGCAGAAATTCAGAAAACAAATTATGTAAAAGAACTAAATGTAAATATTCTAGGCCTTAAATCTTGTGGGGTTTTTTTTTTTTTTTTAGTACATCATCCTTTACTCTATATAATATTGTTTTACTTGATTTTTCACTCTGAAAGCTTTGCACATCTCCCCAGAGTTCAACCTGAATGGTTTGTATTTTATTGCATCAGAATCCAGCCCATTAACCCTCTTCATTGGAGGGTTTCTGATATATGACAATTTTTTTCACAAATTACTTTCAATTCATCTTTATCAAAAGTTCCTGTGTACTTTGAAAATAGAGTTACAAAAAAAGGACACTTACAAGATGGTCTCTACTCCATACCATACTTCCTTCTCTCCAGGATTCTGCTTAAAATCCTCTCATTTATGAGGCCTCCTCTGACATCCCTTAGTGAGGTAGTAACTGCTACCCACACCAGCTTTCTTTTCCTTGATTTATCTTTTGCCATTTTGATCACCATGTTGCTGAGCTGTGGGCCACCCTTGTAGCATTCTTCAGCTTGTGTGCGCAAAAATTACCTGGTTGATCTTCTGGGACTCAGTTTTGGTTCAGGAAACTTTCGTTTAAACAACCCTTAGGTGATTCTGAAGCAGGTGACTCAAGGATTGTAATCTAGAAACACGAAACCAGTATTGCCATTTCCTGAGAAAGGCCAGGATGTGTGTTTCTTGTTTCTATTGTATGTGCTAATATTTAGGAGCTGTCCTGTCTAGATACTGCAACGCAAGACTCAGAGTTAGTAAAAGGAGGACAAGGCCACCTATTTTTTTTTTTTTTTTTTGCGTGTAGGACCTAAGCTTAAAAACTCAAAGGAATCTGAGTAATACAGGTGTCCAGCAAGTTCAGACCTCTTTATTCATCTTCGTGCTTTTTAAATTCTGTTCTGTGAAATGATAGAATAAGGTGACTTATGTTTTTATTTTAAAATTGGCAAAAAATGACATTTGTGTGCCCTCCCTGGTAGCGCAGTGCGTTAAAGCATAGCACTAAGAAGCTAAAGCCACTTCAGCATGAATTCGATCCCCGCCCACCCTGGAGGTGACCACATGGTGCAGCAGACCTCTTCTGACCTGCCCGCTGCTCCCCTCAGTATTCATCAGTTGGACTGTTCAGCTCCTCACTCTGTCTCTGGTGAATCTTCTCACAGCACCTGCACTTCTAGACTGTACCCCAGTTTTCTATGCATAAATACATCTTTTAAAAAAAATGACATTTGCCCTTGGCCTGGTAATTTTAATCTGCATTTATAAATCAGCAGTTTCTATCAGTCTGACTTCTAAAATTTCTTTTTTATTATTATTATTTTTTTCATTTTGGTCCCTGTAAATTTTGGTATATGCAAAAAATATAGGCTATAAATCTAAACAAATGCTAGATCTTTTTAAATACTAATATTAACCATTTAACTACTTCTCTAATCTGGGTCTAATTATATGTTTATTGTTCTGTAAACTTTAAGTGAAAAATACTCAATTTATCAGCTTTCTCTGAAGCTTAGACATGATATATTGCATATAATATATACAACAAAGTTTGTTTTTTTTTTAGCAGTTAGTAAGTGCTCAGTAATCCTGGTTTCTATTATTTGTTCTCATTTTGCAAATAAAATCATTAAGACTAATACTATTTCTTAGTTTCAGCAACCCTGACAGTAGGTCCAGAATAAAAAGCCAGTGAGTATCTCGACCATGCATGTCTACCTGCGTTCTAGCAGTACCTCAGGATTTTCTTAGTCCCCTTAGCATAAGAAACATTTTCCTAAGAGTTACAGGTTGAAAAAAATTAATTATGACTTGTATTTATTCTTCTACTTAGTACAAGCTGAGGTCAGGAACTAAAGATTGTTTTACCAGTATGTGTTTGTGCTTCACTGTACTTAAGAAAAAGTCAAACACTGATGGGTCACCTTGAATTAATGCATCTAATGGCAAGTCACAGTTTGTATCTTATTAGTTTGTTTGCTTGCTTGCTTATTCGTGCTCACAGTACTTTATTTCCTATCATTCCACATTTCTAACATAGAGAGCTCCTTACTGCTAGAAGAACACAATGGAAAGTTTGGGATCTGAAAGGCATACAGCTAGAATGTCTTATAAATGCAGACTTCTACATTTGTATATGTAGGACACATCACTACTAGATAACCTAACCATGACAACACTTCTAGAGTTGATTTCATTGGGTCTTACGGTCTGGTCAGGAGAATTAATATTAAATTTAAGGTTCAGTGAGTTCTCCCTACTTATGATTTTTCTAGGATTTGAACAAGACATGACCCTAAAGTATATCAAGCATTATTTGTTAGGATCGCTCATTGTGATGTACTTTTGAAAATAGAAGTCAGGCAATCAAATTTTATTTCAATTTTAGTGAGGTTCTCAAATTGTCACCCACGAATGTGGTTCAGAAACCCATGAACATGCACAGACTGTAAAATATTAATAAATAATAAGTCAGTAATTTTCATCACTTTCACAAATGGATCCTCCAAAAAACAAATGTTGAAAACAATATTGGTATCCTTATAGAGGAAAGTGGATTTTTTATTTTTAATGAAATGAAATAGAAAATGTAAGTAGCCAAAGTTTAGTTTAGGTAAAGGTAGATGTCAGATGCCCTGCTACTTTAATCTTAGTTTGCTTTGACAGCCTCTTCCAGAAGCTACCAGGGCTTGCTTGACTGTGTAACAATGCCTCCCTCTGGTGGTCTGACATAATAAGCAGTAGCTTTTTATTAGGAGAATTTTTCCTTTCTGCTGAAGTCCTTGTATTCCTTCCTACTTTAAGTCCTGACTTAATTGTGTGCATACTATTTAATTCTTTCAGGTTTACATGGACTGCAAGAACAGGAGTGTGGATGTATCATTAGCTCATTGCACAGGTAAGGGGTGTCATACTGAATGTGATTACGCTTCTCCGCCGTGTATCCTGATATCACTTATGCTTTTCTTGTAGCTTCCTTGATAAAAGCAATGAACTACTGTGGAAACCTAGACTTAGAGAAACCAATATTTTTTGAATCGGTATCTGCTGCAATAAGTAACATTCATTCAAATAAGGTGAGTTGAACAAGTTGGCATGCAGGCTTTACAAGAATAATTCGAATGTAGAATCAAGAACTTCACATTTTTAATAATAACCTATTATTATAATAGGCTCTCAAATCTATTAAATCTAGACTTCTAAAATCTATTAAAAGTTCCCATTATCAAACATCTTTGCTGCAAGTTGAGAAGTGTTTCTATTCCTGTTTTTTTAGCCAGGTATGAAAATTGTTCAATAATTTGAATGTTCTGATAATATCACTGCCTAGAGGATTTAGTGATCACTTATTAAACAGCTTTCTTATAAAATAAATGCTTCTTTTTGGCTCCATTATCTTGAGAATTTGAATCCATTCTTGCTATGTGCAAAAGAACTAAATATAGACTAATAGATTTTTTTTTCTCCGAACTTTTGCTTCTAAACTTCTTTTGCCACCCTTGGAAATATTATTTACAGAATCTAATGCTTACATGATCTCAAGTGTTAAAGTTATCTTCTGAACACCGGACATATGATGAATTTTGGAACTATTCCTAAAGCTTTGATTTCCTGTAATTTTTCTGTGACTTTGAGTCATTTGCTCATCCCTAGAACATCACTTGGTGCCTCCCAGAGTCATCACTATTATATTCAATGAGAACAGTATGTATTTACAAAATAATAATAATAACAGCATTATTATTATTATTATTATTACCATCATTACTATTAAGCTACGAGTTGGAGTGATTATCCTGTTTTGGACACATTCCTAGAGCTTGACCTATCTCAACTCTCTAAATTTGCCACAACCTTATGAGATAGATAGTATTGTGTAGCCTGTCTTTTGAAATGAGGAAATTGAGGTTCAGGAAAGTTATTACATTGTAAGAGACAGTCAGCAATCTGACCTAGACTTGGAGTTTTAAACTCTCTGCTCTGATAACTCATAGAACGTCCATTTTCTTAGCTTGGCTGTGTGGTTTATCCTATGACTACAGTAATCTTAAGACTCAAATGTGCTTGTTTCTCCCTCTTCTATTCCAGAATTTAAACAAACTCAGTGACCACAGTGAAGTCTGAGAGAGTCATTTACTGCAGTACATCTATTGTTTTTGGCAACTACCCTGGGGCAGCCATATACATACTCTAGCATTTTGCACAATTCTTTTATTGCTGTTGTTTGGATCCTATAGGTGACTTCTAATGCAAGAAAGATGATGTGGCCTAGTAACCACATAGCCACTGGTCAAGATTTACCGATAATCTTTTCTAATTTTGCTATAATAAGCAAAATCACTTAATAGGTTGTTGTAGAATTGTTTTATAAAAATTGGTGAGCATTTAGTTTGAGTTAACTCAAATGTTAGGATAAATTTCTTTTCTTTTTATTTTGTATTGTTTTACTATTTTTTTTCCCTATAAGTTAATTTGTAAAATGGAGAAACATTTGTCCTAAGATAAGATTTAGTACAATTGAAAACCATTGTAAAAATACAGGATTATTTGTAATTAAAATAATTTAGCAAATGTATGATTTTTCCTTACCCCCCAAAAAATCTCCATTAAATATTGATAAGACTAAATTTCACAATGAGCTGAAAGTCATAGAAAATTAGTCAAACAAAACTAAATAACAAAGTAGAATTCATTGGTGTCCATAACTTGCCATGCATGAGATTCATCAGGGCTGTTTTCAAAATAACCATTATCCTAATGAAACCAAGTTTCTGACCTTAGTTCATTTTGCTGTGAGTATTCAAAATTCTTAGGATCTTCAATTTTGATTATCCTAATTCCTACTTTTCTACCCCATAAAAGCTTGTTTTCACTTTAAATGCTCTGTAGCCAAGACTATGGAATAGCACATTTTATATCTTGCCCCTGAATATGATTGCTAAATGACAAAATAGAAAACACGGACTTTCCTACTTCAGAAAGACAGTATAAGTTATAGAATACATTTATCTCTATATATCCATTTAGATAGATAGATAGATAGATAGATAGATAGATAGATAGATAGATAGATAGATAGATAGATAGATAGATAGACACCCATAGCATGTTTTTATTTTGCTATAGGACAGCTTGGATACATGATCATCTATAAACTCACCAAACCAACAGAATAATTGAAAAATAAGCACCATACGACACCTGACCTAAATAAGTTATTGTTTTCATGCTAGTACATGTGTTTTCAATCACATGCAGTTACACAGGTTTGTATTTTTATCTAGGAATTTGACATATGAAGAATCTCACATTCAAAGTGCACATTTGTATTTGAGCCTTAAGGTGTTTTAGGTTTTGAAATTACTAGTACAACAAAAGCCACATGCTTTAAAGTGAATTTAAGAAGTAGATTTTAAAATTAAAAGATCAATTATTTTGTGGGCAACTGTTAAGAGAAAACTCTTGTGCCTACCGAATGATATGATGATTCCCACCAAATATGTGGTAAATATATGACAATTTTAACATTAAGCCATAGGTAGGGCAAGGCAATAAAATGAAATGGTAATAATGAATATTGTGAATTCTCATAACTTAATTAACCATTAACTTTGATTGGCATGAACTGAAAAGCAGTCTTTGTCCCAAAGGAAGTCTCAATCTCTTAATTTTGATTAAAATGTAGAACTTTCATTCATACTGTTCCAAGAAAAGATGGAGATCATAATTGGAGGCTAAATTTCCTTAGAGAAAGAAATTTCACTCTGCTTTCCAATGAAATTACTCTAATGGGTATGGTGGTAATATTCACCATCTCTTATCTATTGATGATTTGCACATAACCATGATACAAGGAAAGTTAAAAAAAATATATTTTGCCATTTTGCCATGCAACTTTAACTTTAGCTAAAAATGCACTGCATGCATTTTCCATTTTTTTTTTAGAGATTATGGACCACAGATAACATTAGAATCATTAATCAATGGAGATGCATATAAATGCATATTCTATTTTACTGTTAAAAGTGGCATAATATTTTCTAAACAGGAATGCTTTAATACATTTTAGTGCTGATATAAAAGTTCAGTGGGTAAAACTTTGAAATCAATAGTCAATATTATTTTCAAAGTTAAGAAAGACCTAACCATGCACCAAATAAACTTCTTTGTTCTAAGGTTTCTCCTACTAAGGTCACAGTGATTGTGGACCTGGAGGAACTCTCTGGAATTGAGTTCTAGGAGTCCAATAGTGGGATATAAGTTTTAAACCAAAGATTCTAAAATATAAATGTTTATTTCAAAGCCGACATTAACACAAGAACTATAATATGGTCATAATGTTAAAATGTTTCTAGTCAAACAATTATTTTCATGAGATCATATTATTTATATGTATATACACACACACAAACACACACACATATATGATTAAACGACTACTTAGTATGGTAAAATAAAACCGGAAAAAGTTAGAACTGACCTATAAGAGTATTAACAGAGTGACATATAAATTAAGCACAAAATAGATAGCCAGTAAAAAGACTGTTAACATTACATTTATGCAAATTAAATACCCTTAAATTTTACCATTTATCATTCATTTTAAAGGTTATTTGCCCCGATTATATGATTCAAGTGTTATAAGGTCTAGCTTGAACTACTTTACAGTAATTTATTTGACAGAACTCTATTCTATAATGCATAAAGTAATGAGGAAAGAGATCTTTCTTTCTCAATGAAAATATTAATGTGTTCATACCCTGTATGGATAATGTTTGACATTTAGCTATTACCAAAATATATTAGTGTAAGTATATTGTTGAACATACATATGCGTTAGAAATGCACTTTCTGCATTCTGTGGGATGATGGTCTAATTCAAATAGAAAACGTTTTCTGGCAGTGAGTTTGTTGCCAGATTTCAAATAGGGAGTTAAGTGGTGCTTTCACAATCCAAAGATTTTTAGTTAAAAATCATGTAGTCTAATATACTGCACTTATTTTTTAATATTTTCAAATGCATTTAATTATCTTTTTTATAATCCTTTGTACTAACTCAGCATGTAACAACCAATTTACATGGAAATAAATTGAAATATGATAACTATTATGCTTAAATGGATTTGTGTCCAATATTTCAATGTATTTACTCTCCTGCAAAGCAAATAGTACACATTGCTTTCTTAGACTGACCACAGAGTTTTATGTGTTGAAAATTCCTGGAAGTATCCATTATTATTGGTAATGTGTTTTTCCACAATGTCAGCTTGAGACTGTGAGGTATTGTGCTGTAAGTTATGGACTGCTGATAAGGGCACGTTTTGCTGCAAGATTAAATTGACATGATCTTTTTTTACCAGGTTTATATCATTTTATCCTAATTTCAATGTGCATATTTTTATTTGGGTGATTTCTAGGCCAAATTAAATGTTTTCAACACTCTAAATTTATAAATTTATGGGTTCAAGGGCACAAATGCAAGTCTTTCTTAGAGTTGTTGGAATAAGTCAAGGAAAGTAGATAAGAAGCAGGGAGTAGATATTGCTGCCTAGGTAACAGCAGAAACAATGACTAATGGAATTATCCTAATCTACTTATTTACTATAACAAATATCCTAGACTTGGAAGCTTAAAAAAATAGACATAAATTGGCCCTCCCTGGTGGCGCAGCGGGTTAAAGCACAGCACTTAGAATCTGAAGCCACCTCTGCATGCGTTCGATTCCCACCTGCCGCCTGCCCGGGAGGAGACCACATGGCGAGCCAGACCTCCCCTGACCCGCCCGCTGCCTCCCTCAGCAGTGTACCTCGTTGATCTGCCTGTTCTGCTCCCCACTCTGTCTCTGGTGAAGCCTCTCACCGCCCCTGAGCCTCTGGCCTGTACCCCAG